AACATTAGAGTTTTACATCATTGATATTTATACTACAAGAAGAACATTCTAGATGTCTTATACAGCTGTCCAAGACAGCTCACAACCCTTTGTCTAACACAGCAAACCTGTTGAAAATGTCGACTGCAGCTTTATCAACCATACCATTTGTTTCTCTGCTTTTTCCTTTTACCGTTATGTTGCTGTTTGATGACTGGGACGTCATGGGCTTGTGTTGGGCCTGCGACACATTCTCTTTTCCTTCTTGGTCCATTCTCTTTGTGTCTTGGCCCGTCATCTTCTTCTCTGCAATTGTTGTCATTGAGCTAATACCCCCCTGCAAACTCGAGGTGGGAGGATTGTCCACACCGAGTTTGTACCTGAGACTGAAGAAGCTTGCTTGGGGAAGAGACTTCGTGAAGATTTCTGCGAGTTGTTGAGCTGCAGGAACATGTTTGATCACAAGTGAGCCGAGAGCAACCTTTTCCCTTGCAAAATGGTAGTGCGTTTCAAAGTGCTTGGTTCTGGGATGAAAGACTGGATTAGCGGACAACTGAACAGCAGATAAGTTGTCGCAATATATTTCTGCAGGTTTGTCTTGAGGAACACCAACTTCTTTCAGCAGAGAGGATATCCAAGCTAACTCTGCAGCAGTATCCGATAGAGAGCGGTATTCTACTTCTGTTGAGGATCGAGACACCGTAGGCTGTCGCTTCGCAGACCATGAGATGATGTTTGATCCCAAAAACGTGCAGAATCCTCTAGTTGACCTTCGTGTTTCACGGCATCCAGCCCAATCGCTATCGCTATAGGCCCTTAGAGTAGAATCAGACTCTGCAGTGAAGTGTATTCCCATTTTGACAGTTGCTTTCAGGTAACGAAGAACACGTTTGAGGAGAGTGAAGTCGGAGACAGTAGGTTAATGCATTCTCTGCACACAAGGTTGACCGCATATTGTATGTCTGGTCGAGTAAGTGTTAGGTATTGAAGCTTGCCCGCTAAGCTTCGAAAGTAGGTCGGTTCGGGAAAAAGTTCATCCTGATGTGGAACTTTCTCGATCTGTAATGGCAGAGGTGTAGGCATGGGGGCACACTCAAGCATTCCTGCAGTTTGTAACAAGTCAAGAGCATATTTTTCTTGATTTAGAAACAGACCATTAGAAGTAAACAGAGCCTGAATTCCAAGGAAATAGCTCAAAGGTCCCATATCCTTCATTCTGAATTTTTCCCCGAGGCAATCAAGAAGCTTGGCGATCAGTGAATTGTCATTCCCTGTTAACACCATATCATCGACATAAAGCAGTAATAAGATTACACTGTTGTTCCGTGTGAAGATAAACAGAGAGGGATCAATAGTGCTGCCAATAGAACCAAACTCAATCAGGTAAGAGCTGAATTTGTCAAACCAAGTCATTGGAGCTTGTTTTAAACCATAAATTGCTTTGTGCAGCTTGCAAACATGGTCAGGATGTATAAGATCTTCAAATCCTGGTGGCTGTCTCATATACACAACTTCACCAAGGTCTCCATGTAAGAAGGCATTCTTTACATCAAGTTGTTTAATATCCCATCTTTCAATAGTTGCAGTGTGTAGAACCATTCTAACTGTTGCAGTTCTGACCACGGGACTATAAGTCTCCAGAAAATCTATACCCTCCTCTTATTCATAGCCTTTCGCAACCAGTCTAGCTCTCAGCTTGTCTAGAGTTCCATCGGCATTCAACTTAGTCTTGAAAACTCTTCTGCAACCCAAGATATTTATATCAGCCGGTGGAGGAACCAAACTCCAAGTATTAGTGTCCTTACATGTTGTCATTTCCTCTTCACATGCAGCTGTCCAACCCGGGTGTTTCAGTGCCTCAGTGATACTGGTTGGTTCAGTGGGGATTCCTTTAACAGCAAACAGAATATACCGTGGGTTTGGTTTTACCACTCCTGCTTTGCCTCTGGTGACCATTGATTGAGTGTTCTGAGGTGGTAAGGACTGAGTTGATGAACCTTGTGAGGATCCAGACCGATGCACACTGGAGTCTTGACATTGCAAATGCATCGAAGAGGAAGGAGATTGAACCAGAGAGGTAGTCAACAGTACAGTTGGTGAAACTGATGAAACTCGAGGGGATTGATCTGTAGAGGGCTGAGTGGAGGTGGAAAGAGGAACAGTAATCTCACTAATTCGAACCTTCACTGGAACCGTAGAGGAAGACGTAGTTGGAGAATGTTGATGACCATAATACCACGAAGTCATGAGAGGAGTGGTGGGAAATGGGACAAACATTTTGTAAATATCCGTAAATGGGAATCTTTGTTTAGAGAGCTTGGAGAGACAAGTCTGAACTCTGTTCGTTTAGAGAGAAGATTTTGAACCCCTTTATCTATTCGATTCATCTTATTTTGCAATCTATTCAATCATGTGTGTTGTTTCAATATCCATGTCTGAGTAGTTAACCTTTTAGGTTTAGGGTTCTCATTAAGGTTTTCACTAGATGTTTGATTAATTGATTAGTTAGGGTTCACATTCTTGTTAGTTCTTCACCATAGGTTATTCTTAAAGCTAATTCTAGACTGATCAGCTAGAACTTAGATCATTAGATTGCTTAATTGACACGGAAGTATAATTGAATAACTGGAAAGAACCTAGGATGAGCAAAGTAGCTTTTCGCAAAGGAATTTGGTTTAGATGCTTTGTGAACATATCGAACTTGAGCATTAAAGCTGGTTTAAATCTTTAGGATTTGCAAAGGAATTTGGAATTCTAAGATTTAGATAATCCTCACAATGGAAGTTGGATAATTATAACTTTGTGATTTGAGTGCAAGAACTGTGCTTAAACCTGAACCCTGAATAATCGATTTATCTGCATTCTTTGATTTTCTGAGAAACGCCCTGAACCTAATCTCCATCCATTCGAATCTTAAAAACGTTTTTACTGCTTTGTTATTTTGTTGTTCATCGTTTTTCTTAGCGTAATTCGAGTCTAATAGGTTTATTGAGTGAATTTCTTGTCTTTGTGATTCGACCCCTAATACTACAACTGCACATCTGTGTTCTTGCAGAGTAGCTTAGGGACTAAACTTTGAGCAGATCGCACACTTTTCGTAGTTTTCTGGGTAGATTCGACAGTTCAATCCAAAAATAAGCCCCAACTCTCTCAGAGAATACCAGATGGGCACTGCATTCACTACAAACCAGCATTCCTTCATCTTTCTTGATGACACCATCCGTAGAATGAGCATCCACATCCCCTGTGATTTATGGTTTTCTTCCAAGTACATGTGGAAGAAATACTTGAACTGAGGGTGTGTTTTGAACCACCTCAACTCTCTAACATCTAGCACGTTTTCCAAAGTTTTCACAACCTTCTCAACATAGCACCTTCCTGACAGCTTGATGTTCATATTAAACTTCCAGGGTTCAAAGAACATGTTTGATGGTGGTATAGCTTGGAATTGATACTCTTCATCTTCTTCCGCCTCCTCTTCCTCCTCTTCTTCGTCCTCCTCTTGGTCCTTTTCATCATCCTCCTCTTGGTCTTTTTCTTCGTCCTCCTCTTGGTCATTTTCTTTGTCCTCCTCTTGGTCTTTTTCTTCTTCTTGGTCCTTTTCTTAGTCCTCCTCTTGGTCCTTTTCTACGTCCTCCTCTTGGTCCCTTTCTTCCTCCTCCTCTTTATCCTTCAGACTCTATTTCTTCTCTTTTTCCTCGGTGTTCTCCTACATTAGTTGTACAGTATTACTTAGTTAGTCCAGTTTTACTCAGTATACCAATTTTACTTATTACCCAAAACAATATCAATGTATGTTTCCAAACATACCTCTACATTAAGGTAATGAGGATCCGTAGTGGGACTGTCTTCAACTTTGTTTTTGGCTACACTTGTATCATGCAAAGATGGCTTATCCTCATCATCACTTTTATCGGCTCTGCTTTTCACTGGTTCTTGATGGCGCCTCACCATTTCGTGCAATTAATTTAGTGTCGGAGGAGCAAATTTATCTATAGTGGAGTTTCCAGTGGTTGTCTTCGTATGAGCCATTCTAGAGAAGTGTTCGATCGATTGAATTGCGATGAAGATGAATTTGAAGGCGCACCTTCTTTCCACGATGGAGTTAGCGATTCCGATTGGAGACGTTTCTCGGGTCTCGGCGACAACTGAATTTTTTTTTATGAAGTTAAATAAATTAAAAGAAAAAAAACAATAAATATGATAGATCTGTAATTATGCATACTGTAATTGGGCTTTTAGATTTTACTCATTATTATCGAATTAAAGAAAAACAAATTATTAGAGATGGAGTATTCTAGGCATTTGTCCTTTTAAACTGAACCTGAGGGGACAAAAAAAAAAAACTGAACCGAGGGAACCGAACAGCAATACTATAAATATATCTGAATTTCAGTGGTTTGGTTTGGTACCAAACCGAACCGACCAGATCTTCGTTTATTTTTTTCCTATTTCCCTTAACTAACATATACCAAGTCGTTTAAGTGCTTTATTTTTTTTAATGAACTATAAATTACGTAAAATCAGATTGGTTAGTGTCGGATTTACTCAACGGATGCCAACCAAATTACTAATAATATAACCCGTTTAATGCTAAATCATACATATTTAGCATAAATGATTGTTATACAAACTACAAAATAGCATCAACTGTCTTTTCAATTCTTTTTTGTTGGTGTATGAGCATGGGAATATGTTAGCAGATTAGTCCAGCACTTTGATCTCAATGATCCCAAATAACTGAAAACTCAAAGAAAATCAAAAACAAAAAGAGTTCTAATCTCAGAGAAACCAAAAATAGATAAATAAGAGAGTTCAAACATTAGATACGATCATCAAAAAGCAACATACCGTTAACATGTTTCACTCTTAATGATATTTCAAATACATCAGAATTCTATTATTTTTTACAGTGCTTGGTCATAACCTGAATTTAAACCTCCTTTACTTGAACTTATGTTACTTATCCTTGTATAATCGGGTCCGTGAGCTCTGTTTCTTATGTTTCTAAGCATCATCAACTATAACTTCTCTAGAGATCTTGTGTGCCTGACAACGAACACCACTATATCAAACTCATGCCAAAGGCTTTTATGGCCGTTGACCTCGACTTCCCTGATAGATTTAAACTGGCAGTTCCTCTTCTGAATAGCTGTATAATGAATCTTCCAAAACATACCAGGTTCAAATGAGAAATTCTTAATCTGCGCAAACAAACAAATTTAATGAGCTTAGTCTCAGGGTCTTGCCTAAGGCTTTTGCCTCATGCACCCATATAATATAAATGTTTTGAGGCCCTTGATATTTGAAAATCTGTTGTACCATGGCTAAAGTGGGATTTATGTACAAACGAGTTAAAGTGTGATAATCTCTTAAACTCGAGTTATAAAGAGATGAAACATAGCCACACAAAGGATTTTCCTTTTTTAAACGAGAAAAAAAACAAGTAAATCGAGATTTTGAAAAAGAATCTTTACTTTTTATTCCTCTGTGTGGCTGTGTTTCATTTCATATCTTTTATTACATGTTCTTCTCTCTTGTTTATCATAGATTTTTTTGAATAGTGGTACGAAGATAGAAAAACAATTAGGTTTGCCATGATGAACAAAACCAATCTGATTTTCGATCTTAGATCTCTTTTTGCTTTTCTGAAAAGAAAATAAATAAATAAATCGTATTGATAATCTCTTAAGATCTTTATTGAAAAAAAAAGAAATATTATGTCTTAATTTTTTAGAATTAAAGTGGTTTAAATATATTATATCGTTTGAGATTATATGATATGTTTTATAAAATAAAACGCCTCATTTTTTAATTTTGCCTTGAACCCCTATGAACCTCAAATCTTCAATGATGCGTACAACCTCTTATTGACTGCATCTACAAATTCAATAAGAAAAAAAGTAAAATATTTCCTCCGCCTCATGGCATTCTTTGATCACTTGAGAATGATCCACTGCAATAAATGAAATTATATTTGAAGTCCTCTTAGATAACATACTGTATATGTGCATGATAATAGACATATATTAGTCTAAAAGCACTTCGATCTCACACAAGTTCAAATTTGAGATGAAAAAAAGAGAACAAATAGAGTTTGAATCTAGTACAAACCATAAAAAAAAAAACATGAAATGATTGTTTCACTACTCTTTATGATGTTTCAAACACATCCAAGGAGCTATTATAATCTGGTATGCCTGGGCACAACCTGAACTTAACCTTAGAGAAATTCAATGAGATCTTTCTTTTGCGATATGCTTTTTATGTGATTGATCCTTGCATCATTGGGTTCGAATAGCTTGCTCTTTGGGTTTTTTGGCTTCATCAGCGTTAACTTTTCTAGAGATTTTGCGTACCGGACAAAGAACTCCATTATATCAAGCTCATGCCCGTGATTTTATAGCCCATTATCTCGACAAACTTAATACTGTTCAAGCGGTAGTTTTGTATCTGAATATTTTTCTTATGATGAACCTCCCAAAAAACTCCAGGTTCAAATGTGAAATCATTTATCTGCACATAGCAAACCAAAGTTGTAATGGACTTAGTCCATTGGTAGAAGAGAAGTATTGTTTTGGTAGATTAATATACAGACATATATATATATATATATATATAGAGAGAGAGAGAGAGAGAGAGAGAGAGAGAGAGACTTACATCGATCAAAACCTTTTTGAGGTTAGGGCACTGATTGAGGAATCCAGCAATGACAAAAAGATTGCAAATTGATGGAGCTTTAAAACATATCTGAAATTCTTGTAAGTTCCCAAAACAGAAAGTCGGTTTTCTCATGTTTCCGTCTATGTATCTATACGTGAAAGCCTATACATATACATGTGAAAGGAAACATCAAAACTCACTCTAAAGCAAGAGTGAAAAATTATAATTAAAAGAAAAACACATGTGAAAGCTGCAGTCTATGTGTGATGAACATTCTCTATCATGAATTTTTAAAGAGTTTATGCAAATGATACCTCTAAAATCTAAGCTTTAGTAATGATGCTTGCTTAAAAATGAGTACCTAATCATTTTAAGAATAAGATTTCTATCAGATTCTATTTGTTTCAGTGTCAGATGTAACTGTACCTTATCTATGTTGAACTTGATCTCATCTTTTTACAGATAAGTACTTTTTGTAATTTAATCAGATTCGTCTGCTCGCTTAAGATCAATATAATCGGATTTTAGATCATCATAGAAACAACATGTGGGAATGCGTATTGTTTTCGTGTAGACGTCTAAGATAAACATTTTCCCAACTCGTGCATATGATCTCAAAATGATATCATAAACTCTACACAGCTATTATAACTCTTGCAAAAACTATCTTATAAATTTATAAAAACTAAATTACAACAAAAAAAAAAACTTACCTCAAGAAAGATGTTTGTCGTTGCAAGGAACTGAACTCTTGTATAGGCTCTCATATTAGCCAGCACCATATCAGATGGGTCGTAAAAATGCCAATCGTAACTCCGCTTATAATGGAATTCTGCTTCTTTAACTGCATAGACTCTTGAAAAGTCAACCTTCCTGACATATCCATAATACTTGAAGCATTCGAGAGTAGGTGAATCCAACTTAATGTCCAAGAGATTCCGCATATAATCAACGACTAGCAACCTAAACTTCTTATGGTTTCTAGCGTTGATGCTCAATATCCCATACATTTGACATTTGATTAGCTCAAACGTCTCGAGGTGGATGCAGTTGGTGAATATTGCATCTATCATCTCTTTTGTCACTCTATCAATTTTCGTTAGCACAAGTATCTTCAATAACTTTAAACCCTTTGGAGAATTATCCGGTATTTTGAACTTACACCATCCTAGCTTCAAGACTGTTAGCGTCTCGATGGCCGAGAAATCAACCGGGATCTCGAAAACTGTATTTGATTTAGAGAAATCCAACACAAGCTCTTGAATGTTTTTACCAAGACATGTATTGACCCATGAGAGTACCTTGTCTTCCACACCGATGTGATTGAGAAGTAGAACAAATCGATTAATCTCCGAGCCTTTGTACTGATTAAAAACGCTTTCGATGATGCTTACAGCGCTTAGTTGACTGCATCTTACAGAGTAGATTTTGCTGAAATCAAGATCTCGGGACCGAATCTCTGTGGCTTTGAACTTTTTGGATACAGAACGATTTTGTAAAACAGATTGAATTGGTAGACATACCGACATGATGTGGTCCACCAGGTCGTCGGGCAAAGTTTCAGTGACCTTTATCTTCTTATTCGAAGATTCTAACATTTTCACAATACTCTTAGAGAGAGCAGTGGATTCTCGCTATAACTTTCGGGGAGTTATATGCAGACTGGAAAACTAAGATTTTCTTGCCTTTGTTTTCAATTTTCTATTGAATGAGTTGTTTAAAAAACGTGCATGTATGGAGTGAATAATTATGGTACATTAATTTTATTTGTTTTTACAGAGGGATACAAGCTGTACTTTCTATACTTTCTATACTTTTGTAAGAAACAGATTGGCTATCTACCTTTTACCATATGTAAGATATTAATATATATATATATATATATTTTTATGTATTACCTTATGTAAAATATTAATATTTATATTAAAATATGATAAAAATATGTGAATATGTAATGAAAATTTGGTTTGTCCATAAACATATTTTTGGATATATATATATATATATAATAGCTATATATTAATTTTTATGTCCAAATATATTATATTATTTACTATTCTTAACCAATAAATTTAATTACATTCAAGAAGAAATGTTTGGATGTTTGTTAGTATAATTTGTTTCCATAATTTATATATAGAGTAGTTAGACACAATGTAGACACGTGTCTTGTTAATAAAAAAATGCCTTAAAGATTTATATACATGTCAAAATTTTAGGTAAATTTAAAATTTATCTTTTACATCTTATTATTATGAAATTAAACTGTTTTTGCTAGCTGGTATAAATAATAATAAAAAAATATTAGAGTTTCACTAACTTCCAATTTAAACTCCAATTTCTTATTTTTCCATTTTTCCAAACTTAATCAATTTTTAGTTTCTCTTTTTTTTTTTTGTTAGCAGACAAATTATCTAACACTAGTAAAAATTTTTAGTTTATGTACGTGTAAACTCTAATTCAGTTTATTACTATATGTCAATGTAATAGTGTTGTTGTTTGCAATTTTTTATATCATGTAACATTTCTTTTATATTAATAATATTAATTTAATTTTAGCGTACATATTTGATTTGATATGTGATAACTAAATTTATAAAAATATTATAAGATATGTAGTTACATGGATTAAAATAAAATATAAAACCAACAAAATAATGTAGTTACCTAATGAGATGATAATATTTTTGATGTTGGACTATTAAACTCTAATAAAAGATAGTGAACCCAAACTAATTAATGTTCAAACCTAAACTTTAATACATCATCTAGTTTCAATAAGAATGTTAGTTCTTACTGTTCATATTTTATGATATGTGTTATGTATAAATGATGAGAAGATTTCATTGATACAGAATCAATTCCAATAGACTTATTGGAGGGTCCCATTGGCGTTAGGCGTTTTAACCATTCAGCCATTGATGATTAGTAGGGATTCTCGTACATGGTGAATAACTAAATTCCAATTGAAATGAAATCTTTAGGATAAATCAATGCAATTTAGAAAGAATCAATGAAAGGACATCAATTCAATTCCTGGATTTTCAAATTGAGAGAAATAGTGAGAGAGATTAAAAATTCACATTATTTCTTATATTCATGAACCCAATTTAATTCAGTAGGATCTTTCATTCATATTTTTTTCCACAAAAACGTTTTATAAAATTCTTGGATCCTCAAATTTTTAGTATCCTACTTTTGCGCAAATCCATTAATCAGTTTGAGTTCACTAATCTTTTATTAGTGAACCTAAACCCATTAATCGGTTTGGTTCATTAATCTTTTATTTTTTGACCAAGTCATAATATACTACGAAATTTATATATTATCTTGATGAAAACATTGCTTGAAAATCCAGGATTTATATATTATTTGAATTTGAAAATCCAGGATTTGAAAATCCAGCTCACAATATACTACGAAATTTATATATTATCTAAATTTGAAAATCCAGGATTTGAATTGATATCCTTTCATTGATTCTTTCTAAACCCACCCACATTCTGATCCCTCAAAAATACCAACGTTAACCAAAATCACTTCGCTCCATATAAATTATGTCCAGCTGAAACGTTATTTACATCTCATGTATGTTTATTTATTTTGAAATTTTGAGCATTAAAAGTTTTCCAAGTTGCTAATCAAATCATGTCATAAAAAAAGGCAAATATAATACTCTTGTTGAAATAAAGTGGGTAAATTTTCAATGATTAACTCGTTGCAATAAGTTAAAAATATTATTTAGATATATTCTCAAGATCATAAACAACAATCAAATATCAATGATCTTAAACTATTTATGAGCATGAGAATAGACATATATTAGTGTAAAATGACTTAATTGATCTCACAGAAGTTCAAATCTGAGAGAAAAAAAAACGAAAATAAATAGTTTTTATTTTTTTATTTTAATAAATAGAGTTCAATTCTAGAAAAAAGAAATCAGAAAAAGAGAAAAAAAAACATTAAATGATTGTTTCACTACTCTTTATGACGTTTCAGACACATCAAAAGAGCTATTATAATCTGGCATGCTTGAGCACAGCCTGAACTTAACCTTAGATAAATTCAATGAGATCTTTCTTTTGAGACATGCTTTTTATGTAATTGATCTTTGCATTATCAGGTTCGAATAGCTTGATCTTTGGGTTTCTAGGCTTCGTCAACGTTAACTTTTCTAGAGATTTTGCATACCTGACAAAGAAATCCATTATATCAAGCTCATGCCAGTGGTTTTTATAGCCCATGATCTCGACAAACTTGATACTGTTCAAACGGTAGTTGTGAAGCCGAATATGTTGCTTCTGATGAACCTCCCAATAAACTCCAGGTTCAAATGTGAAATCATTTATCTGCACATAAAAAAATCAATTATCACGTAGAATCGAGGTATTGTTTGGGTAGATTAGTACATATATATATACAGAGAGAGAGGGAGAGACGTACATCGATCAAAACCTTTTTGAGGTTAGGGCACTGTTCGAGGAATTGAGCAATGTCAAAAAGATTGCAAATTGTTGGAGCTTTAAAGAAATCTGAAATTCTTGTAAGCTCCAAAAGCAGAAATTCGGTTTTTTCATTTCTCCTCCATCGTACTTATACGTGAAAGCCTATACATATACATGCGAAAGAAACATCAGAACTCGCTCTAAAGCACGAGTGCAAAAATATTAACAAGAGAAATTAATATGTGAAAGCTGCATTTATGAAAAATCTCTATCATTAACATTTAAAGAGTTGAGCAAATGATACTCCCTAGCCACTTAAGCTTTAAAAAATAATCCATGCAAAAAAAAAATGAGCACGTAAACTTAAAAGAATAAGATTTCTGTCAGATTTTATTTGTTTTTAGTGTCAGATCTTACTGTACCTATTGAGATTATTTTTGTTGGATTCCACAACTAAGTTAATTCTGAAAGTTGTCTACCATTAATTTCTAGATACCCACTAAGACAAATAAGAAAATAAAAAATAATTCGAGACATGTCTAGTGAGGGTGGTATAAGGTCTTATATAGGTCTTCAAAAAATTCTTGTTGGGTCAAAAAGTAATCAAATGTGCAACATTATTAACGAAGATTACGAAACAGAGTAAATGGTTTGGTCAGCCAAATATATTATCTAGAAGGCAAAAAGGTTTTAGTAATGGTGTTGAGAATTAGGTCGAATCTAACTAGAATAAAGTTGAAAACAAGAGAGAATTTAAAACAAATTGATGCAGATACCTTATTTTGGGGTTTCTTTATTATTGTTGGAATTTATAATACAAACCTTTAGACCCATATCTATCAACCTTAAAATTTGATTCCTAATCCTAATTAGTAAATGAAACTTTTTTTTATCCCAATAAAAAAATATATCATACAGTACTTAAGAAGATTCATTAGCTCGGTCAGAAAGGACCATATATATACCATACTAACTAAATCAGATTTTAAGTCGTGTTTCACACATCTAAGACCTAAGTGATACAATTTCCTAACTTTGTAATCCTGTGATGATTCAAATTTTCCTCTCTCTCTCTTTCACTTGATAGAAACCAGAACAAAATTATATATGTTATTAAAAAGGAGAATTAATTGCATGAGTGCTTGAGAATGGCCATATGATTTTTTAAACAACTTCTTCATATAATAGAAAAGCACCTATCCATAATAGATATCACTTCCTTAAAAGACATCTAAATAAAATATTTCTATGATCTCAACTCGTGCATATGATACCATAAACTCTTCTCAGCTATTATAAATAAACTAGCAAAAAAATTATTTTTTAAATTTATAAAAACCATATTACAAAAAAATAAGACTTACCTCAAGAAAGATATTGTTCGTTGCGAGGACACGAACTCTTATATAGGCCCCCATATTAGCAAGCACCCTTTCAGATGGATCGTAATAACGCCAATACAAACTTCGATTATAGTGGAGGTTTGCCTCTTTAAGTGCGTGCACTCTTGAAAAGTAAACCCTCTTGCAATATCCATCATACTTGAAGCATTCGAGAGTAGGTGCATCCACAATAATTTGCAAGAGATACGGCATAGTATACACGACCAGCGACTTAAACTTCTTATGATTTACAGCATTGATGCTCAATGTCCCAAACATTTGAAAGTTGATTAGCTCAAACGTCTCAAGGTGGATGCAGTTGCTGAATATTGCATCTATCATGTCTGTGTTCATATCACCAGTCTTAGTTAGCGAAAGTGTCTTCAATAACTTCAAACCCTTTAGAAAATTATCTGGTATTTTGAACCTACACCATCCTAGCTTCAAAACTGTTAGCGCCTCGATGGCCGAGAAATCGACCGGGATGTTAGCAACTTTTCTTGATTTAGAGAAATCCAACACAAGCTCTTGGATGTTTTTACCAAGACATGTATTGATCCATGAGAGTATCTTATCTTCCACTCCGATGTGATTGAGAAGTAGCACAAATCGGTTAATCTCCGAGCCTTTGTGCTCATTAAAAACGCTTTCAATGATGCGTACAGCCTTCCGTTGAATGCATCTCACGGAGTATATTCCGCTGAAATCAAGGTCTCGGGACCAGATCTCTAAGTCTTTAAACTTTTTGGACGCAGAACGATTTCGTAA